TGTGGAGATATTCAAGCCCCGCCTGGACAAGGTCCTGTGCAGCCTGCTGTAGATGACCCGGCTTTGGCAGGGGGGTTGGACTGGGTGATCCCCAGAGGTCCCTTCCAACCCCAAACGTTCTGTGATTCTGTGGTTCCCTGCTGTGACTGTGGTTGCCACAGAAAACCCTCAGGTAGTAAGGCCAAGTGGCTTCTGACCCACGAGACTTTGTGTCTGTGGCAGAAAAGCGGCAGCCCTGCTGCGCTCTGTGCACAGAATGGGGCTGGGGTTGGTGCTTGGGCCTTGGGACATTGCCCGGTTGATGCTAAAGGTGAGTGGGGCCCTCTCCTCATCCTGTGCACCAGAGCCGAGGGGTGATGGAACACCGCAACGGGCTTTTGAAGGGGATAACACAGCCTGAGCTGCAGCCTGGATTGCCCCAGCGGGAAGGCTCCGCTAGCATTCGCTTATAAAATTGCATCAATAGACTCAGAAATGGCGGCACTGTCACCCTGGAGACTCGTTTATTCTTCCAGAGGTCATTCAAGGGTTGTTTAAGGGCTTTTTTCCTGCAGGACCCATTCATTACGATGGTGGTGTTGGGGTGACAGTTGGACTTGATGATCTTAGAGGTCTTTTCCAGCCTAAATGACTGTGATTCTATGATTATTGAGTACCTTCCCCAGGATACCCGCCCTGCGGCTGAAAGCCACTGAAGAGCACACAAATCTCCTGGTCTTACACCCACAGCTCCTGCTTGTCCTACACCCATCTCCGGGGTGGTGGACTGGCACACTGGAAACTACTGGGCAAGGCTGGTGGGTCTGGGCACGCGGCTGCAGACATCTGTTGCTACCCAGGGCCTCTGCAATACCAAATCGACCCTGTTTTACGTTAAATTGTCACGGTCACACCTGAGCATCTTTGGCTTCGCTGGGGGTGGCCCCATTCGTCTAAACTGCTTTCTGGATTTGAGCCACCGGTGGAAGGAGATGCTGGTTTGTTTTAGAGCAGTTCCTTTGCCTGGGGAAGATCCCAGGTTTTGGAGGGATGTTTTTTCAGCCACAGCTTAACAAAGACTGAGATTTCATATGAACCTCTGAGTGTATAGGACCCAACTTCCACTGCGTAGACCCAACCGGCACTGTGTATAAAGGAAGGGGAGAGTTGGGTCCTCTCAGTCTCTTGGATAAACCCAGGGGAAGTTCCAGGTGATGTGTTCGGTAAAACCACTTTGAAATCCCCAGCTCTGGTGGGGCAGTTAGTGCCATCCCCCACCTGCCAAAACTCAGCAGCCGCATCCCGCAGCTCAGCCTCAGGTCAAAGCTCTCCCCGAAGCCATCAGGAGCTCTGAGCTGAGCTCCGTGCTCCCCTGGGCAGGAGATAAAAACGGAGAGGGGCAGCTACGTAGGGATCTCTGTACCTCGGCAGCCTTTCCCTGGCCCGTCTGTGGCCCTGCTTCTCTTCTGGTTCTGGTCTCCTTTGCGTTGGGGAATGGCATTCTGCCGTAGGGTGTTACCATGAGGGTTTGCTGGTGCAGCACCTGAAAACTGAGTAACTGGTACATGGGTATATACTTGTATTTCTGCCTTATTTCCCGCGCACACTGTGCACACACAGGGAGCATACCCGTGAAGATGTGGAGGAGGTGAGCTGAGAGAGTTTGCTGACGATGAGATATCCACGTAGTGAAGA